AGTTCGATAGCCTTTATGTGGAAGGGAAGTGGGGCACAGTGCCAGATTGGCCAGGCTTTTATTATGCTCCTTGCAATTCCCCTGGGTCCTGGTGTGAGTAAAAAACAAACCAGAAGAGGCTGACACCCTGTAAACCATGATGAGGGTTAGGGGAGATGGAACTAATCTGAGCCAAAGAGCACTGCCTGGTGAGGAGGTGCTCATGGGACTGTCCTGGGGCAGGCTTGTGTATGTTGTCTGGATGTGAGCACACTTGAGTATGAACCTGTGTGAGGAATACATGTGTGTATGCTTGTTTCTGTGCACCCAATACCCAGCACTTGATAGGACTTAACATTGATTGTCTACCTTGCTCCCATAGCAAACCAGAGTGCTAGAAAAGGCAGGAGTTATTATTGTCCTATTTTAAGATGACAGAAACTCAGACAGGTTAGTTGACTTGCAAGTTTCAACAGAGTGTGAAAAGGCCAAGATTCAATTCTGTCTTGCTCTAAATTTCTTGCTTTTTCCAGTCCTGTATGAGCATATGCATGTACAGAGAGGTAGATAGGGAGGGAGGTATACTTGGGAAAGTGGCCCATACTGATGTGAACACATCCACACATGCTGGAGAGAGGAAATTTCTGTTTCAGAGGCAGAAGTGATTGCTAGAAAATCAGGGCTTCAAGAATTGAATCACAGCTAAAAATGCACAAAGGTTATGGTCAATAATGAATCCGGATTATCACAGCTAGAGTCCTCAAAACTCTGGGGAAAGCCTCCTTTCAGTTCTCCCAGGCTAATCTCATGTCCTCATTATTCCTTGTCTCATTCCTAGTATTGTAGTTTTGGGAGGTTGATCATTCTGTTAGTGCCTTTCTCTGGAGCCCAGAATTCCTTTTGATAAAATCTGCTTTGTGTTCTGCACACTTCCTGGGGAGGAGGAAGGGGCAGAGACAAAGCTGATTATTTCTTGTGTTATGGAGAGAGAAACTGAGGCCCAGAGGGGCCTTGTCCATGTCTACACATCCTGCCTGATTCAAGAGGTCCTGGGCAGGAAGACGACTCATTGGCCAGCTGTTGCCTTCTGTCATAGTAGAAGGAATGGCCCAGGCAGCTGCCAGCCTGGGCAGGCAACATGCCCAAGTGCTGGCTTGAGTTCCACAGGAGTCCAGTCCACTCTGGGAAGGCTGGGAAGCACTGTGGATCTGAACTAAGCTCAGTGCAGGAAGAGGGAGGGAGGGGAAACGGCTCTCTTTGAAGAGGAGGTATGGAGAGGATTGCCAGCCTAATGGGGTGAGGAACCTGCCCAGCCAAGATAGAGAAGGAAGGAGAGAGCCAGGTCCTTGGAAAACCTAATACTATACTATCTTTCTCTTGAACATTGGTAACTAGTATTTAGTGATCAAGTAGGTCTAGAGTAGGGCTCTAGAATCTGAATCTTTAATGTGTGCCTCTAGATGGTTCAATGCAGGTGATCCAAGAATACCACTTTATAAATTTAACTTGAGGAAAGATAGTATAATGTTTAAGGGTGCAAGATCTGGACTTATACTCCAGTTTTGAACCCTGACTTCATTACTAGATTTCTGACTTTGGACAATTGGTATCTCTCTGTGCCTCAGTTTCCTCATCTTTAAGATAAGGATGCGTATAATGGTAGCTGCAAAAATTCAATGGCATGATTTGTGTAAAGCACATAGCACATACATGGCTCATGTTCATCTCTCAATAATATTTAGCATTACTGTTTGTTCCAATTGCTCATTCCTTCCCCACTCCTTCTCCCACCAGGGGAAGAAATGGTAGTATTGGATTGATATAGTGATTTGTCACCACAGTATTGTTTTGGATGTGGGTGATCTTTGGACTGTGCTTTGAGAATTCCTGCTCCAAAGCCATTCTGCTCCTATCACTCTTCTGATACCCTGGCTGGAGACTGAACTCCTTCCAGTAATCTACCTTGCCTTTCTCATATTCGTTTCCTCCTCAATCCCTCTCTCACCTGGCAAGCCACCTTCCTTCTCCACCCCTTCAGAAGTTATTTGTCTCAGCATGTGTCCTGGAAAGTAAAACCAAACAGCAAGTCAGTTGTGGAGCTGCATAGGTCCCTGGATTCCTGATGAAGACCACAGAATTTGTTGCTCTGGGACTTATGAGTAAGCTTCAGAGGCAGAAGAGAACAGAGCTTCTGCTTCCCAGGTTCTAACCATGGAAACATGCTGGAAAACTGAGACACCCTGTGCAAAGGCATGGTTGAAGCCCATGGTGAGTGTGTGGGCGAAGGAAGCTCTGTTCTGCACAAATTCTCACAGGCACTTCCGACTCTGGATGGCATCGCCAAGTGACCATAAGCAGAGGTGGAATGGGGAGAGATAAGGATGGCATGAACTAATCCAACCGAGGACATAGAAAGAAAGCAGAGGAAGTCAACTTTCAAACACACTAGTGGTGCTAGTTGTTGAGATTCAGGGACCAAGTGTCACCTGGGATGCAGAGAAAAGCAAGGTCAGCTCTCTGAGTGGCTGAGCCTGTCTCCTCCCAGTCACTCAGCCCTCCAGAGAACCCCTGTTTCCTGCATTCCACTCTCCTACCAGTGCAGCTGACATAGAGAACTCCTGGGGTGTGCTAGGGGAAGGCAAGGAGAAATTCTTCCTGTAGAAAATACTGGCAAACCTGGGTTTGGCTCCAGCTTGGCCCACAGTGTCCTTACCAATTGGTACCCTCCAGAACTCCCTGCCCCATAGCAGAATTGTATCTGGCCTATGAAACCCACCTATTGGTCAAGGGCACCATATACCATATCATACCTGCAATCTTCTCACATCCCCCCATCACACACACACACACACACACACGCACACACACACACAGGTTGCCAGATAAAAATAGAGGACAACAAGTTAAACTTGAATTTCATATTAATGATGAATAATGTTTTAGTTTAAGTATGTCCCAAATGTCGCATTGGCACATACTTATTCTTAAAAAATTATTCGTCGTTAATCTGATACTCAGGTTTAGCTGGACATCCTGTATCTTTATTTGCTAAATCTAGCAACCTTACCCGACTCCCCTTCAGAATCTCCCTGCTCCAGGCTCACCACAGGACTTCACTTGAACCTGTGTCTGTGTCACAGTCTGTTATGGCCTTAGCTGAGAGCCTTCGTTACAATCTAACCTACTAGCCTGAAAGCTCTCTGAAGGTAAGACGCAGGCCTTGTCCACAGTCTCTGGGGCTGCTTTCCAGGCAAGGATTCTCTTTATAGTTGTGCGCAAGGGCCTCCCCCCACCCCCCCAGGGGGATGGGCAAAGAAATCCATCCTCAACTCTCTGCCCCTAGCGGGTCCAGGCACAGTAATGTGCCACTGAAAGGCGCCTTTTTCTCATTGGTCTGTCAGAAGAGCATCTGTTTCTAATTGGTTTACCCAGGACCAGTGCCCCCTTTTCATTGGTTGCTTGGGAGGTGGGTGGGGCCTATCCCAATTGCTCTACCCACAAGAACTCCTGTTTTCAAGGCTGTCATTCAAAGAGGAGCCTTTAAAAACTTCCTCCACCAGAGTGGCCCCTTTTTCTAAATAACAAAAGCATTCTATGTAGTAATAAGCTTTCTGAGGCCCTAAACCTTAGGATAAGAACACTTCATTACATTCGTCTAGCACTTTATAGATTCCAAGTTACGTTTACATACATCAGTTCACCTAATCCGCACAATTCTGAGAGGTGGGTATCCCTGTGCCACTCGCATTTTAGAGTGGCGAGCAGGCTCGAAGCGACAGTAACCTGCTTGCGGTTACTAAGGCAGATAATGAAAACAGTTTACTTTTGCTCAGTATGAGTTTGGTTAAAGCTTTCACGGGAATCGCTTCACTCCACCTTTACTGCGATCGTGTGGGATCCGTAAATCCAGACGCTCGACGCTCATTTTCTCTTTTAACCTTCATGCAACTCCAGGAACTAAATGGCATTTGCTCTCACTTTATTGATGAGGAAACTGACGCTCCAAGTAGTTAAATCCTTTGCCAAAGGTCACCCACAGTGCTTGCAGGCTACCATTTATTAAACTCGTATTTCCTCATGCCAGGCGCAGGGCTGAGTTACTTGCAGGCATTATTCTCTCATGAAATGACATGATTCTGGCTGGACTTCTTATTATCCCGGGTTAGTGATGAGAAAAGTTGGTTCAGAGAGGGTGGTTGACTTGCCCAAGACCACACAGCCAGCAGGTAGTTGAGGCAGGATTCACAAGGCTCGCAAAAAGGCAGATCTGGAACTCAAATTCAGTTCTTCCGACCCCGGCCCGGGGCTCCTTCTCTCCCACTCCAGGTTCTTGCTCCCTGCCAGCCTGGCTGAAACAATCAATGACCCTCAGGTAGGCCAGGATCCCCCTTACAGAAGTCGTAGGTAGCTATCATCGCCAGGAAAAGACTCTTTCCCCCACC